GAGGGGGTGGGAGGGAGAGAGAGGAAGAGAGACAGACAGACAGACAGAGACAGACAGAGACAGACAGAAAGACAGACTAGACAGGTGGACTGACTGACAGACAGACAGACAGAGATACAGACACACACGTACAAAAAGTGGATGAAAGTATGAAAGTGGCACTGGAGAAAAAAGGCATTATAATTTATTTAGTTGGAAGTCACATGTCCGCTCAGAGGAAGAAGATAAAATTCAGCATGGAACACTCACGTTTCAATGGTGACCTCTTCCCAAGAACTGGCTGTGAAGTTACAGGTGAGCTGACCTTCTCGATAAAGACTCAGTTCGCTGACCTCTGACATCATTTCTAAGGAGGATAAGGAGCGTGTGTTGGGGGGGCGGGGGAGATGGATTGTATTGTACAGATACAACATATTACAATTTATATTATAGCGATTTGCAACAAACACACACAAGGTGGGCTCAATCCTCATGCAAGCCACATGATTGATGTCTGCTCCCTAGGCAGGATAGGATACTTAACGTTTTAACAACATCACTAATAATAATTAGAAACTGGCTTTATTAATTGATAGAGTTGGTGACACACAGATAGTTTCAAAATCTGTTTTCTTTATGCAAAGAGCAAAGAGGGTGGACAGGGGAAAGAGCCTTCTTCGGGGAGCTAGAAGAAGAGACAAAGGCGGGGGAGGGGGGGGGGCAATTAATTAAACAATCAAAAATCAACAAATAAATCTAATCAATGGTATTTATAATATTCTCTAACTGCTCCACATTAATATTAAAATATCATTGTACCTACTCATCACATTCTCGATTATATGACTTAGGAGCTTCCGTTCGTTCACAAATATGTATACAGTTGGTCGCTTTAAAGCACAAGGGGGCTATCCCGAAAAATACTGTTTTGAGAAAATCGAAGGTAAAGTTTTTGCCCCTAGTCCAGATTCTTTAAAAGACAAAGAGAGTTTTCTCTATAACCAAACAAATATACACACACCAATAAAACCAAACTCCTTTTATAGGTAGGGTAATGTCCACTTTTGGTGTAGGTCAAGATTCCTGACAACCCCCAACATCTGGGTTAGCCCGCTTGTCCTTAAAAGCGTCCGGTTGAAAATTGGTATTTTGACCCCAATATCGTACAGTTGAACTCACACTCACGGCCATGTGTATAAGACAATCGTTAGTACAAACAGCCACTTGCCTTTTCTACCACTGCGGGGTTTTTTTTATGTTATAATGACACTATGTAAGATGTCCACCAGTCTAAGGCAACCACTGTTCTCCTCAGCAATGGATGACCGTCTTAAACAATATTGACTGTATTATGAAGACCATGCCATCCCTGAAAGGAAACTACGTTCAGTGCCCACATATACCAGGTTCAATTGGTGTTGTAGTGGTTGCAGGCGTAGTTGTTGTTGTCGTTGTTGTTGTTGTAGTAGTTGACGTTGAAGTCGTTGTCGGCACAGGCACCACGTTCAAAACAACGCCTGGGGAGACAACTCCGGTGGACTGTGACCTACATCTGGCGTAATGGCCGTCTGACGTCATAGGCAGACTGACCTGAGGATAAAATTAAATAAATTAAAGTGTCAATGTGTGCAATCAGTAGTAGTGTACCCTATTTTTCCTCCTCATAACGAAACCCTTTGTGATTAACAATGGTAGAAGAATTGACCGTAAGATTGCCAATCGGGTAAAACCCAAAGTTCCGAATCTCCTTACTCAAAATTCCCCCCCTCACACGTGAAAGAATGGTAAGACACACCTTTATCCCAGTGCACACTGCCAATCGAATTCAGTCGAATTGAGTAGGCCATCCAGATTTTCCTTCTTACTGGTCAAAAACTGCCCGTCACAGAATTCGACCGAATTGGATCATAACCTCTTAAAAACATAATATGCGTTTGTTTTTATAGGTCGCGAGTCGAACGATCGGATGAGTAGACGCGCGTATTCTGTTGATGCTCCAAGAATGTTAAAATGATGCCACTGAGATATAGGTTGGCTATCGTAAAGAACAATAATATAAGCATTTGAGAGTATTTATTTTCGTGCGCATTTCAGTGTTGTGATATTTACCGGTACATCCAAAACTGTTGGCCGTCTTCGAAAGTATCGACTGGTATTGTGATTTGTCCTTACCTGTCGAAAATTTCTGCTGACATAAGCACATTCGACACCCGGGACGTTGGCGTTGTCGAAGTCATCATACCTGATCTCTGACGTGCCGAAGGGGAAGGAGAGGTAGGTCATGTTGTCAACGCTGTACTCCCACTCCACGATGGAGCGATCTCTGTTTCAGTAAACAGAAGCACATCGACACAAAAAGGACACATTAGCTTAGGGAAGAAGCAAGAATCAGAATCAACAGAGGAAAAGAAAATAGATATATCTAAGTATGAGGAGTATCCTAAGAATTAAGTGGCAAGATAGAATAGGAAATTGAAGAGCTGTGGGAAAGGACTCGACAAAACAACATAGAAGTAGAAATAGGACTAAGAAAGTGGTGATGGATGGGACACACTTTTAGAAAGTCCAGCGGAAATATCGCAAAACAGTCGCTGCAGTGTAACCCACAGGGAGCACGAGGCAGGGGTGGGCTACGGGAAACATGGAGGAGATGTGGAAAGGGATATGAGAGATATGAAGCTCATTTGGAACGAGCTAGGAATGATGGCCCAGGACAGGGATAAATGGAAGGAGCTTGTATGTGGTCTATGCCCTGCCAGGAGTGAAAGCCATTGCTGATGATGATGATGATGATGACCAGAGCACTCTCCAATCATTGAATTAGGAGAGGCAGAATTAAAACTGGTACCAAACCGAACAAAAGAGTGCACAATCTAAGATATTACATACATACCGATATGTAAGCCAAGCATAATAATAATATGAGCTACAGCGTGTCCACAGTTAAAATAGTACAAAAACAGCTCTGTTTAATGCTATCAGGTCTTTGCATACATGTCTAAAAGTTGGATGATCAAAACAATTTAGAAATCCTTTAAAAAGATACTCTAAACTGAGGTTCTGACACGTTTTCTTTGATACTAACCCAAACCGGTTAAAAATAATAAGAGATTTTATAGCACGCGCCTAAAACACGATCTAACAGACGAACTGAGTACTTTTCGATACTCCCCTGGATATACCTAAACGGTTACGAGATGAAATCTACAAATTATACTGAAATGCAGGGGCAAGGGGGGGGCAATGTCTCAAAGCGAGCTATTTGCAGGCTAAGTTACTGTGAAACAGTAATAAAATTATTGTTGTGAAACCGTGTATGCACCCACATGACATCATTTAATATGGGGCACAGATTTATTTTTTTTAACTTTTTTTAAATTTCAAGATCAGGATTTTTTAAAGATGATTAAGATTGTATTTTTGTCGTTGGCCTGCAGGAAGAGTCGTGCCATGTACATTTACAAGCGCATCTGTAAATTAATTTTTTAAATAGGTTTGGATTTTTAAAGCATGAACAGAAAGTAGACGAACTATAGTCGGAACTTCTCCCTCACCTAAACTCCACAGATTCACAGAGTAGAGAGACAGGGGTGTTCTCTAAGATGACTTCAGGGATGACCGTTCGTGTCCTCTGAACCTCCAGACCCACTGAGGAACAAGTTTAATTTTAAATATAGGTATTTTACGTCCCCATTGATATGATTTTGGTCGTTTATGAGGCGGCAAGTTTTGACCTTTCCTGTCAAGACCAACTCCGTCAGAAAGAGATATAATATCCCAGTTGCGATGCATAATAAAAAAAAAAAATACTCCCCACTAGGGATCGAATTCGAGTATCTCGCATGCGACAGTGAAATGCATAACTACTACACCTAAGACGCCAGTATTTTATAGGTATGTGTATCATCTCAGGTGAGATATTTTCATAAAACATAGCAACCGTTCAATGTACAATAAAAAATAAAATCGTTTTGATTTGTTGTTCTTTATATGTGTGTATGTGTATGTATTCGTGTAAGTGTGTACGTGTGTGAGTGTGTAAGTGTGTGAGTGTGTAAGTGTGTGAGTGTGTCAGTGTGTCAGTGTGTGTGTGCGTGTGTCAGTGTGCGTGTGTGTCAATGTGTGTATATAAGTATGCCTCTGT